TGAAGACTGTAAGGAGTTTCGCTTGTGAGAGACAGGAAAATAAGCGATATGCAAATAAATTAAAAAACACTTACAACCTTAATTTAAGAGAGGCAGTTGTCTATGCAGGCTATAAGTTTATGAATGGGGTAAGAGAAAGAAACTAACACAGATTCTTTACCATTATTTTATTATTTATATTAGAGTATTATTGTTATAGGAGTCATGTTTTTTGCCCTACTTGATGTGTTATTGTACATCAAAATAGCATTGCAGTACCCATTGCTACTTTGGGATCAGATTGAACATTAGTCTCTAAGCACAAGCTCGGTAGTCTAGTGGTTATGGCACCATGCTAATTATCTACAGGTCGTGGGTTCAATCCCCACACTTATCACTTGTAAACTTTTTTTTTGCAAGTATTTGGGAGCTTACTGAGTATTCAGTATAATAACACATCAGATCAAAACATCACTCCTATGATATCTTCCTTACACAAACTCACATTGATATATTATTATTGCTACAAGTCAATTGTAACATTATCATTTTACCTTCCTATAATTTTCCTATCCCAGGATCCTAAGCAGTTACTAGTTTAGTAAAGGAGAACAGAGTGGTTTGCTGCTCAGTCAAACCTCTTCACACTATGACACCACAAAGAATATTTTGTTTCTAGGCCCAGCTACAGGCTGGATTTGGCCTGGGACTGTGAAGCAGCCTGGGGTTGTGAAAATTGAGAATGCGGAACTAAATCCCTATTCCAGTGATAATTCAACACGTTGACTGCCAGCCCTTTTTTTAAAGTTCCTTCAGTTTACATGTACAAACATACTTTTTTTAATATTTACCTAGTCATATATCATTTATTGACTATTCCAAGTGCAAGTTATCTTTTCCGCTTTTTGCATGGGTTGGTATATGTTCAAAGGGCACCCCCCCCCCCACTTGTGTGCCGCTCGAGTGTAGTACCGGCAACATAACACAACAAACATACATACTTCATTTGTACATTATCGTCTAGGTGTATCTTTCCCGAACTACCAGCCATTGAATCTGTGGTTCTGCAATGTATAACAAAGAAAATAAACGCTAGAATGTTATCCCGATTTTGACGAGTATACTTGTCCGTGGCGCCCTCAGCAGCACCCTGTGGGACGAGTATACTCGTCGCTGGTAGCCAACGTGTTAATGTTTATTTTTAGTATTTTAACCCACTTACCTGTAGTGGTACTAATTTGCCGCCATGGGGGTGGGGGGCATCTGCAACCCCAAGCCTATGAACTTGAGGTGCAAGTAATTTAAAGTAATTGCGGCAGCATTATCTCCTTCAAAAAAACTTTTTTTTATAATTTCACATTTTTTTTTACATTACCATTACTTATAATTATTTTCAATGCAGAGTTGTATTCAAGAGTGGGGGGCGGGGTGGGTAGATGGCTAATTTTCTCTAAATATTTGAGAATGTAAGTGGGCGAAGAAGAAAGTTTGATTCAAATTCAATGTAAAAATCCCTAACTGGATCCCCTCTAATTTGAAATCCTTGATTTGCCACTGCAATGCTATTGGTCTTATGAGTCCCTGTTAACATTCTGTTTATTTTTCAGATTTTTGATTTGTCTGTTACAGTTGTCACATTGTTTGTAGGTGGCCATCTTGTATTAGATGGATACCTGAAGGCTGGTCATCTCGTCTCATTTATCCTCTACCAGATAGAGTTGGAAATCGCATTGGAGGTCTGTATTTTCTTATGGTATGGTATGACAGTATACAGTTACACATTTTATACACTTTGAGAATGTGACTTAGCAGTCGGACATCAAAGACCATGGAGCAAGAAAATAGTAAAGACATAGGCACATCCATTTTTTTTTTTTACGCATAATAAACTTACTTATAAATATTGTGTATTTACAGGGTTTAACCTGGCCGAAAACATATTTAACAATTTGGCTATAAATTCGGTATAAAAATGAAATTTAAATAGTTAAAAACAAAAGAATATAAGCAATTAAATAGCTTTAATTCCATTAGCTTAATGGCTGATCTTGGATGAAAATATTTAGCAAAATTCAGTTTTAATTAGGATTTGGCTAATGACAGCTTAAACACTGGTATTATCAACATCAGTTTAAAACTTAAAATAATCCATGTTATTCAGTGGCAATAACTGATATGTCATGGTTATGCTAACAATATGATATAAATTTCGCTACTTTCTCTCAGGATATCTCAGATGTTTACACTGGCCTTATGCAGGCTGCAGGAGCGGCTGAGAAGGTGTTTGAGATGCTGGACAGAGAGCCTGACAGGGATATATACGAGAATTTCTTCACGTCAGACCAACTTCAAGGGCATCTGGAATTCCAAAACGTTTCATTTGCATATCCGTCAAGGAAGGATGCCAATATATTAGAGGTTGGTGTATTGATTGAAGTGGATTTTATCATTCTTGTTCTTTTCACATTCATGTGCTTTTCAACTTGTATTGTACTGTAATTCATATTTTTGTTATTGTCATTATCATAATCCATTATCATCATCATTACTCAACATCACAGGTCATTATCATTATCATCATCACCGTCTTCATAATAATGAGCATGAATGTAATCTTATAAAAATTAGCATTATTATCTAGTGGCGGATCCAGGAATTTGAAATAGAGGTGGCCCAGGGAAGTACTTGACAGATGGTGGGGAGGGGGGTGGGGGTGGGTATATACAACCTCAGCCCTGCCATTGTTGGGGCAGAGGTAAGAAAATTTATGATTATGTCACCTCTAGAAGGCCGGAAATGGTATTCTCAGACTTAAAATTAAAATGTAATTTTCTTTTTTCTCCAATTTTTTACAATTTTGAAAAATTTAGGGGGCCCCAGACCAGTAGGGCCCCACCCCTTGAATCTGCCACTGTTATCAACATGAATCACTAATTAATATCATTGTAA